AAAAAAAAAAAAAAAAAAGGAAAGAAAAAGAAAACAAGAAAACAATTGTTGGTAAAGATATAGAGAAATTAGAACCCACATACACTGCTCAGGGGGAAATAAAATGGTACAGCCACTTTGGAAAACACTCTGAAGTTCCTTAAAAAGTTAAACAAGCTGTTACCATAGGACCCAGAAAATCCATTCCTAGGTTAATACCTAAGATAGCAGCATGATTCATAATAGCCAAAAAGTATAAACAGTGAGTCCATAAAATGTGGTATAACCATACAATAAACATTACTTAGCCATAGAAAGAAACCCAAAGTACTGAAACATGCTACAGTACGGATGAACCTGGAACCTTTATACTGAGAGAAGCTGGTCTGAAAGTGCATGTTGTATTGTCCCATTTATCTGAGGTTTAGCAGTTAAGTTTGTGAGCTCATCCTAGAAAAAGTACCACAGACCTCATTGCTGAATATCACTCTAGTCACTTTTGAAGAACTCCCCTTAGGAAGTTATGCACTGACGCTAGCGCCTAGTCTATCCTTCAACGAAATTTTGGAAGAAGCCTTTTTCTAGAATGACCATCAGAGCTGTCTTACGGCACAAAAAAGTACTCAACACCAACAACGAATGCCACTGAGCAAGACACCACCACATGTCACCACAAACACGGCTGTAAAACACCCATACACTAAGGTTATGAAACCTTACCAAGTTCTTTGTACTGAGCTGCTAGCGTAAGCACACAGTGGTTTGCAAACTTAATTGTCAGACCTCCTGTGACAGCAGCCCCAACGGTTATTCCAGAAAAAGAGTTAAAATTGCATTGAAGGGTTGCCCAAGTGCTGGCATGGGTGCACGACCTCCCACGGGGAATGCCTCAAAGGTGGCCATAGCAATCTTCAGCAATGAGGCACATAAGCACTTTTTCCAAGATGAGTTCCCAAACTTAACTGTTAGATCTCCTATAAACTGTCCCCAACAGGCAAATCTAGAGAGAGGGACAGATCAGTGGTTACCGGCGGCTGAGAGGAAGGAAGGATGGGAAGTGACTGTTGATGGATATAGATTTCATGTTCTAGAACTGATTGTGGTGCTGGCTGTACAACTCTGTGAAAATGCTAAAAACCAATGAATTGTTGCTTTTAAATGGATGCATTATATGATATGTGAATTATATCTTAATACAGCTGCTACCAGAAAAAATAAAGGTATGATAGATTGTCATTGAAGCCCCATTAGCCATTTTTCTCCCCTCTAATCATCTTCATCTGGGACTGATGACATGAAAATAACCCATCTGTTTTTCAGCCTTGCTGTGTGCCTTTCCAAAATCTGGTTGACTATCTCTTTGATGAAGTGAAAAAACACAAAAGCTCAAAATCTGAACTGATCAGTATTAGACCTCACGAAGCCCATGGCAGCGAAGTCGATAGACTCAAGGCAAAGGAGAAAGCCATGCAGAGGTAACCCTGAGCCTTTGATACTGATACTCAGATAGGCCAACTTCACTGGAGAGCTTTTTCTAAATAAACCTTGTCTTTTTTCAAAATATATAATTTTAAAGATGTGCCCCTGTGAATAAATAAAAATTGGCCAAAGCAACCCTATTATAATTCCTGGTGGATGTCAGGAGATTCAAAAGCTCCCAGAAACTCAGTGAACTCACTGATTTAAAGTGGAAATTATCAATCCTAAATTATCAGGACAATTCACAATTCTAACTTGGGAGAAATGTGTTCGATAACAGAGGGGAGACCCACATGCTGAGTAAATAAGTATTCACAGTAACAGCTGTGAATAAGTATTCACCGTAACAGCCGAACTGACTAGAGAGGGCATTTAAGCAGTTGAAATTTATAGTATGCTGTGTTAAGCTTCAACCACGTTTCAGATTTATGCATATTTTTTGATTTTGCAGAAAACAGGAGCGACAAATGGCCAGACATTTTACATTAATACCGGAAGAACAGCCTACTTTCCCCGAGGAAGGTAAGTTTGCCAACACTGACATTATAGACGATCTGTACAACATCAGAAAGCTCAGATATTTGACCCCTAGAGATAAAATTAGTGTATTTAAAAAATAATGTTGAAAAATTTTATTTCTAAGTGCAGTAAAGCCTTCCTCAGTCAGAATGGCACAGAAAGTCTGGTGTATCCATCCAGCTGGCTTTTGGACATCTTAGTCTTCATCTTGTTGTTATTGTGAAATATAAATTAGCGACATTGATAGAGCACTTGACAGGTAGCTGCCAAGAGTTTTCAAGTCCATTGTCTCTTATTAAGCACACTTTCCGTTATATTTTCAAGCTTGGCTATAGAAAATCTGTCAAAGATAAATCAGATGACTTGCTTCGTATATTGCTTTGTGTCAGCTGGCCAGCATAGCTGTAGTACACAGACAGTGGAAGGATTACTGATTTTAGAATCAGAAGTCCTGGATTTGTATCCTTGCTTTTCCTTACAGGATGTCTGATTTGGGGCTAATTACTTAACCTTTCTGACTCTCCCTTACCACTCAAAGCTATTGAAACGATATGTAATGAAGATTTATTTTTATTTCTTTTTTTGCAACTAAATCCCTAATATAAAGTTTCATGATAGTCACCTGTTTCCTACTAGAACTCGGGGCCAGAAAATTCCACTTAAAGAAAATTGTCATTTTTCTTCTTTAACAAAGTTTTCATTTTTTTACAAAAGAAGTCTCTCGCTAACTTAATGAAGGTTGACATTTTTCTTCCTTAAAAAAAAAGCCTTATTAAAGTGACTCATCAGAAGACATTTGTAAC